GGGGGGGGGGGGGGGTGAAACAGGGAGGGTAAACTACCCATATGAAATTTTTTTTTTGATATAAAGAACTATGGCTTAGAATTTTATGAAACCAATTATATTAGGAAGGCTACGAAAAAATACACAATACCTTGCGACAGTTTGAATCGTTGCAGGTCAAATTTAAAAATAGTATAAATTTAAATGTTGATCTGGGTCTCAGGGGGAACTCACACTCCCCTTTCCCTTTAAGAAAAATTTATAATAGAAACGATCAGGGCATCATGAATTTGGATAGGACATTTTTAATGTAATATTTCAACTATTACGAGCTGAGAAAAAAGAAGAGGAGACCCCGAGAAAAATTTCTTGGGGTCACATCAAGATGACGACTCTTAGGACGCTATGCACTTGACCATCAGTCTCCGCAGGATGTGAACAAAAAGCATTGGAGGATGGGAGGATGCCTTGAGGAACAACAGGGCAATCTGCCTTATCGAGGAAACAGCGGGCCATCCAGAACGATAATCATCACAATAATCACGCGAATTAGATCACTCTCGATGCCCGAAGTTCAGATTCAATGGTCGTATCGAGGTAGTCCAGGACAAAGAGGGGGAATAATTACCCCCACCATTTGGATATTCCTTATTTTTGGTGACTGATGGCCTACGTGATAAGATCAAGGCTAGTCAGTTCTCCCCGAGATTCCTTAATAGTCACAGAGTTATAGTATTAGCAGAATAATAGCTTGAGTAACAGAATTTCAAGAAATTACAGTCGTAGTCTGAGAAGTTGAGGAATAAATGTAAGAGTTGGAGCTCAAATAAAGATTGGAGATCAGCAAGATCTAGCTGTTGGCTGGCTGCAGCAATTTTCTGCGAGGATTTCGAGGCTCTCTGGATACGCGGAACTCCTGGACGACCCGAGGACGACCCTGAACCGTGAAATTTTCCCCCGCTTATTGAGTTATGTAAATACTTTTGCATTAAGAATTACACGAATTACTTTTGGTTAGTTTATGATCGTAATAGATCAAATTTCATAGTTGTTTGCCACCGCAGAGTCATTCTGACCCTGCGAAAAAACTGAATTTATTGTTATTTACCTAATTTTGTCAAATATTAAATATTATTTTCTGTTTTTACACATTTTCATATTTAATTTGGTTGAAACAATATAATTGATTTTTTGAAGTATAAAATTGATGTTCGTGTCTCATTCTGTGAGTATTTTTGGGATTTTTGGTATTTTTGGTATTTTTGGAATTTTTGGCTATTTGTAAGATCAGGAATTCGAAGAGGGAGTATCGTCCTCCCTCCCCCTTGCTGATAAGAGTCCTGGCAAAATTAATTAAATAGCAGTGGAGTAAGTATTGAAAATATTGGTGGTTTTGTCTATTTCGCACTGAATAAAATAAAATAGACTGGCGCATAGAGCATTTTGGGCGTCCCCATTTGTGTATCGGTAGTTTTTGGGTTGAATAATTAAATCCTTTGGAGTGAGAATTTTAAGATTCGTCACAACCTTTTTTGTATTTTCCCGGGAATCGAAATTTATAAGGATAAAAAAATTGTTTTTCGAAACTATTGCCGACCACAATAATGTCATTTGTTCATTTCCCACGAATTTTAGAGAGTTGATATCCACCAGATTTCTTTTCAAATAATAAAAATATGATGCAGAGCATATATTGAACCAGAAAAAAGGATGACTTACTATGGGTTCTTCATATGATTTCACCTTGATCATAGAAACTCATATGGGTCATGTTACTCGAAGAAGTATTGAAAGGGGTTTGGTCAGGAAGGATTGATCAATGAAATGAGGATTAACAAGTTACACTTATTTCGATATATTTTAATTTTTTTCGACTGCTTCATTCATTGGTCTACGCCGGGCTCTCTCTTTCGTAATTACTCACACACACAATGGGTGCCACTGGCACGTCAGGAAAACCACACGCATTCAACTGGCACTCTTAGTTTTTATCCATTTTGACCACATACAAGAGTATATCTGTGGAATTCTAGTGCAAATAATTATTCTTTGGAGTTTCGGACTTGAAGTGCACCAAGTTAAGGCAACAATTTTATCACATTTGACAACAAAAATCGGATCAACAAACCTCAAGCTTGTCAGCGGATCCAGGAGCGAGCGACCCGCTAATAGGATATCCCGAGGACTATGCAAAGGACACCAGCATTCAACGGAGAAGCTATAAAAAGGAAGAGGACACCCAAACTATCATCACGAGCCCAGCCAGCATATGAGTAGTTCTTCTTATACTTTTCTTCCAAACAGCAACATCGTGTTCACTCATTGAACCCCATATTGTTCTAGCCAAGCTATACAAAAGGCAGTTACCATTTAATTCTTATAATGCCGACGAAAGTAACAGAAAGCCAGACAGTTGGGAATCTGACGGTAGAACAGTTTTCTGTTCTTCCCAAACCGCTAGTTCAGCAATCGGTAAAAGAAGAAATCGCTCCCCTGGCTGAATCGATACAAACCAACAGCGCAGTAATCCAGAATCTCCAACAGAGAAATGATCAACTACATTATCAGTTGGAAAAAGAGACAAAGGAACTGTGATCACTTAAAAGAAAAAACAACGTAATAATTCATGGGCTTGTTTCTACATTTCAGGATACGTTGGACATCTTAGAAACAAAGGTTATCAATTTACTGAGCAGTAAATGCTCCAGCCAAATCCCCAGAGAGCAAATGAGCTATATTAAAAGATTGAGCAATCCTAGGAATGCCTCCAACTGCCCAATTTTAGTGACGTTGGCTTTGTTCAAACACAAGACATCTATAATGAGTGCTACGCTGAAAATCAACGACAGTGGAATCTTTATTACCGAAAACTACGACAAGGAAACACTCAACACTAGGAAATGCCTGCTCCCTCTGATCCAGCAACTCCGTTTGAAAGGCTTCAGCACCAAACTCAAGGACGATATCATCCTCATCAACTCCAGACCAGTCTCCGAGGAGAAGGCGACAGCCTTACCCAATTCATTAGCAAAGGCACCTCTTAAACGCATTATAGAGGAAATGGACTGTTCAACAGAAGAAGGCAGAGAAAACGAAACACCACAGTCGGCAAAGAAGATCAGAAGCAGCTCTCCATCAATCAGTAGTTTTTTTCGTAACCAACTCGACAAGATCGACGGGTAATCTCTCTCCTCCATCCTCATCATCAAAAACCCCTTCCACTCAATCCTCCCATTACCCTTCGCAACGACCCAAGGACAACAAACGCCCCATACCTCGTTTCCTATTCCGACCCAAACCACAAATTTTACTCTGGAACCGTGAAAGGTATGGTTCATTTCTCTCATCATTTAAAGAAATGAAACGCCTCTTGAGTGATTGTGAAATTGTGAGAATAGTCGAAACTTTCAATCTAAAGGAAATCAAAAGGAAGCCCTGTTTCCTGAAGGATCACCTACTCTTTCAATTACATGCAACCAAAGACCAATAAAGCGGTAGAGGCAGCAGAGGTCTGATATTCTTTCTGAAACAACACTCTTCGTCGAGTCGGTTAAGACTCCTAAACTGCTCCAACCAATGGATCATTACAGACCACCAGGTAGGCGCCATGACAATTATCATATGCTTAGCCTATTTTCGCCCAAAATCTGACGATGACTCGGAACTACTTCTCCTCCTGAGCATTATTGACTCTCTGCATTCACTAAACCCAAACAAATCATTCATTTTTATGGAGGATCTAAATGCGCAGGTGGGAAATCTTAATCAGCTCCCGAAATCAATGGACGTTGGAGACACTCTCACCCACTGGAGAACCTCGACATTAGAAACAACGAAACCACGGGAAAAACCCCTGGTGAATGAACTTGGGAGGATGAGATTTTTCATTCTGAACTGAAGAACTGCCTCTGGCACACCAGCACAAATCACATACAGCAGGAATAATGGATACAGCATTATTCGAGATTTCAGTACTGGGCAGAGTCTAACAACATCATTCCAGAATTTCAAAGTGGTTTTCGCCAAAACAGGAGGTGTATGGATAACCTCTTCAGCCTCACAAGTGGCATCCAAATGATCATCAACAAAAAAGGAAGATATGCTTTGGCAATCTTCGTCGATTACAAGCAAGGCGGATCACGCAATACTGTTTTGGCCACAGTCGACACTCCGTCATTCATGAAAAACTCTGGAGGAAGCTGGTACTGCTGGGATTTGAGTCGAAGGCGCTGGAATCGATAATGAGCGTGTACTCCAAACTCTTCATGCAATACTCCATAAATGAAGAGGATTCAATCAAACTTAAGATCAACAAAGACACTCCACAGAGGACACTTAGTTCGCTCCTCTTCTCGCTCTTCATCAGTGACATAGAAGCGCACTTCAGAACTTTTGGACTTTCAGGTCTAGGTCTGAGAGGTTCCCTGGAGATTCTGTTGATGGCTTTTGCAGATGACATAGTCATTCTCGCGGAATCGGAGCGAGATGTTCAACGCAAACTGGACGCCCTTGAATCATATTGTTATCTCAACAGTCTCCAGGTGAACGTGCCCAAAACAAAAGTGCTGGTGTTTCACAGGAGCCCGAAACTTAAGCGTATTGGATCCTTCCACTACGGCTCACAAAAAGTGGAGTTAGTGAAAGAGTACACATATTTGGGAATCGTGTTCTGCAGCTCGGGGAAATTTTACCAAGCTGCCAAAGACCGTATCTCCAAAGCCTCCAAAGCATCGGGGGCAACTCTAAATATTCTATCGAAAGCAAAACCCAACTCCATTTTCTCAACTATCAAACTGCTGGACAACATAATAGATACAGCTCTTCTATATGGAGATGAATGCTGGGCACAGGAGTACGTGCAAGAACTCGAGACGATTCCTTCGAGTTTCCTGAAAAGGGCCCTAGGGCTCTCAAGAAACACCCCCCACTATCTACTCGGACTAGAAACAGTTCGCACATCCCTAGAGGTAGAAGTACTGAAGAGAAATCTTGGCTGGTTGGGAAAGCTAGTAGCTATGCCAAATGACAGAATTCCTAAAAAAATGCCTCCTGAGGATGTTATCAGATGTAGAGTCCCAAATTTCTTCACCAACTCCCAACTGGATCTCCAAGCTGAAAACTCAACTAGATGAACTAGAGCACCAGAAGCTGATCAGCACCGACATGAGCCCCAGTCTCATTGAATCCTCCAAAGACGCTATCATCGCCACTCTACAAGAGAAGATCCACCTCCAAAATATCCAAAGGGCTCATAGATCCAGCTACAACAACCTCTACGCTTTGTTATTCGCGGACTTTAAATACCTCAATTCAGATATAAACTTAAAGAGTCTAGGACTGATTGGACAGTTCAAGATGGCTGACCTCAACAAGGCCAGGATCACATGGAAAGGGACTCTTTTAATCCTCGACTCGTCCAATTCATGCCAACTATGTGCATCTGGTGAACCTGACAGCGTTATCCACCTCCTGGTGGACTGCATGGCGCTTGAGCACATTAGAGAGCGGAACTCTTTAACCAACATAGCCTGGCATGATCTAGTCACTCCAGGTTCCAGTGCAGAAGTCACGAAATTGTCCAAGTTTCTCATGTCTTGCATGCAACTCCGATCCCAAAATTGAAAAATAGTAGAACACAAAAAGCATCTTTTCATTTCTTCATTAAACATAGACAAGACCAACTCGCTCAGAACAAAATTTCATTGGGTTTTATTCACTTAACTAAAAATGAGCAAATTACCTGCTCCAGTCACTTAAAATTTCCAGAAATGAACAGATCCGATCTCTTACGCTCCAAAAACTAGTCGTAGAACCGTTTTGGTAGAACTTCTGATTTCCAAATCTAATTGTTCTTTTTTTTTTCTTTTCTAGTCGAACCTAGGATTCGTCAATTGTGCTTGGATTCCCGGACTCGTGAATTAATTTCCTTTTCACATTATTTTTAGTTCTTCTTACGTTTGACATTTTTGTCTAAATGAACTGTACATGCATGATGTTAATATTATCAAAATTGCAAAGTTGTAAAGTGGCTCTTCCCCTTGTATAATCAGTGTATTCCCACTGAGTACAGTAAATAAATATTATTATAATACTCCCACAATGGCTCGCGCTGCTCCACTCACACTCACCCGTACTCATGTAAAATTTTAAAATTTACCCGTTAGATACCTTACAATTGTTGATCTGTGTATGTTATCATGGATTATAATCAGTACAGAAATGATATTCTTCAAAGAAATGGTGCAAGCAGAGAGACTTCCTGCACCACGAGCATCTGACTACTGCAACATTCGAACAACCTTCAATTTCACATTGCGGATTAGAGCATTGTCCAAATGCAAAATCAACAGGATTGTCTGATTCCTCTGGTTTTTTTTTAAAATATAACCACTTTGGAACCAAGCAAAACGGTATAGATTTCGATACCTCGGCGACGATAACTGGTTGTGAAATAGAGAGTGCAATTTTATTACATTATTCCGTGAATGTAAATTAATGTCATCCAGGAGAATGACCGTATCCGTAAAATGACATACTTAATTTTTCTAAATCCTGAAGCTATATACATCAAGAGATTGAATTTTTCTAGTGGTCCCTTTCGAAAACAACATAGGTAATAATTCCGCGGAGTTGTTTCTTTCACTACTTTAGAGCAGTATCCACTCCATGAATCAATTAACAGCAAACTTTTCGGTCCCATGTTCGAAAAGAATACTCCTTCTAGCCACATTTTGAAGGGCGCTAGAAAGTTTAAAATAGAGAGATTAACACAGTCAGTGCAAGACTTGTCATTTCTTGTTATCCATGCGAAATATTATCTTACCTGATGATAGTTTCCCTGATTTCAAAGCGATTACGTAAACATTTGAAGGTGTAAATAGATTTTCCTCGAGCCTGGGGCCGAACGAGCCAGAGAGTTCTTTGTAAACAATAAAAAGAGGTGCCAATAATTTTCCATCAGCGGAAATTGTAGGCTGTATCGTATAACTGTGTGTTGTCGATGTTATAGATTGTACAATGCATAAGACTTGTTTAGTACCTTCTTCTGCCAACCTTCGCCCCGAATTCGTTTCCAATTCAAAACTATTTTGATCGGATTATAGATATTTTGCAAGTCATATATTTCAAAATATGGTTTGATCTTTCCCAAAAATTCTTCCGCAGTTTTCTGTAAATCTTCCCGATTTTTCAATGTTTTACGTGTAACGAATTTATTAATTTTGCGGGAAGTAATGCGATAAGCTTTCTTGAAATAATAAAGCCACCATGGAAAGGCCTTGAAATGAATATCTTCATGTCCAATCTATTTCTGAGCTTGCAGAACCCATATCCATAGGTCAGTATCATGAACGATCAATCCCGCATCAATAGCATTCTTCATATTTTTCAGTGTATCCTCTGATATACGTTTCAATTTCTCCATGTAAGTCCCACATTGATTGATTTGATGCACCCAGCGACGTAACTGTTCAACTGATTCCACTCTTTTGAATCTATTAGCGATGCTTTTTACACATATATATAATAGATATATATATTTCTATCCTGTGGTATTTTTGAGGACCTAAAAAAATTTTGAATCTCTGTATCAACAAGTTGCAGATACAATTATAAATGAATAGTAATGGTGGTACTTTCGAGGACTGTCCTCAAAACAATCACGACATTCATTTGTATACATACTTTTTATCCTGCGATTTCCTTCAAGCTCCGGCAAAAAATTTCACTGCCTATGTCAACAAGTTGTAGGCATAACAATAATTGAATAATTTTCATATGAGTAGAAGAAAAATTCTAGTTCGATTAAAATTAACAAATAAAATTAAAAATTGTTTAAAAATTGATGCATTACTCTACTACTGTATTTTCTGGTAGGTATACCCCTCTAAAAAAAATTTTACAGCTGTTTTCTCTGTGCATATCATAATATGCGTTTGTAATATAAATTCTTATATTTACAAGTACTTTGGAGGACGTCGTTCAACGATTTTCAACCAAGGTCAAAAAATACAGTCAATTTTTTGAAATTTTTTAAGTACAGGGTGTCCCATAGCATGTGACCAAAGTAAATTGCGTAGAATACCGCAAGGTGGCAGTGCAGTCTAAAGTCGAATGTATGATTGAAGTGGGGACTCTCCGCAAATTTCATTCATGCTTCAGTTGCTCGGGAATTGCAGCACTAAAATGGAAAATTTAACCATCGAACAAAAATCATTCCTCATCAAATCATATTACCGAAAAGGAGATTCAGCTACTGCAGCGATAAGAACATTACATTCTAAGTATGGCACACACACTGGAGTGTCTGATTCGATTCTCAAACGGTAAATAAAGTGAATGAACTAACCAAAAAAATTTGTTTTCTTCTTTTGTTGAAAATCGACGCATTTTTCGACCAATTATGGGTATTTTCAGGATAATTAAGAAATTTGAGCAGTAGGGTACACTAGACGATGGAAGGCATTAATATCCTGGTCCCTCGCGTACTGTAACTGTTCGGTGACACGACCGATATTTCGTAATTTTAATGGGGAAAAAATTTTTCTTCCCATATGTACAGAGACCATTCATTCCACTTCCTGTTTGTCAGACTCTTTTTTTTTGTTTCTCACAGGAAAATATCCTTTCGAGAAGAGAATTTTAAGAAAATTCCTTTTAGCACGGTTGAGTCATAAATTCTAAGATTAAGAGAAAGTTGGAAGGCTGCAAACTCCCTTTTCCCACGGTGTGCAGACCAAATGTCCAGTACAAAGACACATTTTTTCCCAAGTAGCAAATAAAGGGTATCCCGGAATTTTGGAAATACCCAAGCCTCCCTCTCAATGGTCATTCTTGTCCACGCCTTCCCATTTTCTTCCAACCAATAATTTTAAAGCTAGCGAAAATTAGTTAGTCAATAAGAATTATTCATCCCTTCCAATTTCGAAAAGAGGACTCAGAATTTTCCAAAAACTTCTAAAAGTTACCTCCGAGACAACGGCCAGTGAAGACTTCGCTGTCACTGAGCTTCTCTTTTATATCCGAGCAATCTTTTTATCCAAGTCAAATCGTTTATTCAGTAAAGCGCAATATTATCGCGTAATTATTAAGTGAATTATTGTGTTTTAAATCGATAGACAATTTAGACTTTTTAGTTAATTCATCTCGTGCAATTTTAGATCTTATCGTGTAACTCAGAATAATATTTTTTGTTATTAAAATTAAGGTGGTTGTGAAATAGTGTTTTTCATTTCTAAAACCTTTAAATCAGAGTTTTATCCCACATCACACTGAGTCGGTTTACGTTCCCGTATCATTCGTTGGAGAATCATTGGCGAGCTGCAACATCGGAATACCTGGGATTTACACCCCCAAGTAAAGAGGCCTTCTACAATTTTTCGGGCTACCGCATTAATGATATTCAACATAAAATGGTCCTTCGAGCCGGATATATAAGAACTTTTAGTGTCGTATCGAAGTGTTAACTCAAATAAACAATTAAAATTGAACAGTTCGCGAGTGCGTGTACTAATATCTCTCACTCTAGTGCATCCAACTACGAGAACTTTGCCAGAATCAATCAGGAGCTGGACGTTTGAAGATTCTACCTGCCTCTACCTACCTGCTTTATTGACCACCAGGCACTATTCTTCAAATGTACTCGTCAATTTGAAGTGGTATTTCCTGTCTACTCATTGACAATTTTTATGCAATGCCCGACCAATTATCGCCAGAGCAGCTGGCCACGAGATGAAGAGAGCTGGTCGCTACATGAGGCGTTTAGTCTTCCATCCCGTACCTTGATAAGCATTATGACAAAAACACGGAAGAGATGGAGACAATGCCCGACGTTCTCCGAGAGCTTCTCACATTGGAACCCAACGTAAACCATGCAGAAATCCACGAAACAATGGAAGACGACGTCGAAGAGTTGAGAGCCGGCATTCAAAAGATAAAAAGGCCTGGACAAATGCCTTTCACGTCAATTCCATCATAAGTTTGCCAGAAAAATTAAAAAAACGTGAATTTTGGCAGAAAGGGTGTAGAACATCCTTAATGGAAACTCCATTCATGAAGAAAAACTCTTCTGAAGAGATCAAAAAATTATTAAATCACATTCAAACCTCAATTTTAGCCATGAAGGCACTAGGACTAGATGTTGCTGGTTGGAACACTCTTTTGGTGCACCTAATTCTCAGAAGACTCGACAAGGAAACTGCTAAAGAATGGAATCGCAAAATGCAGGGAAACGAATTACCAGAGTATGAAGATCATTTGACGTTTTTGAGAGAAGAAGCCGTAAGACTCACCTCAATGTATTCATACTCCTCCACTTCCACCGTTCGTGAGTCCACTATCGAATCTTCAGTCAATGGGAAATTTAAAAAATCAAAGGGAACTGCGCCGAAGACTCACGTCCTTCTAACAAACGCATCAGAAATCAACTGACCACGCTGCAACGTCCAGCATGCATTGAGCACATGTGAACAGTTTCTCGCTTTCGCACTGCTGAACAGAATTCAAGCCGCAAGGCAGGCCTCTCTATGCCTCAAGTGTTTCCAGTCAGGTCATAATACGAGGGTTTGCAAGGGTGACAACTGTGCCACGTGTCGTAAAAAGCATCACGAACTCGTTCACCTCAACGAAGAGGAAACCAGGATTATGAGGGCCTCTCTACCTGGAAAAATCATTGCTCTCGTGGCCACTTTGCCACCGGGAGATTTCATCGTTACTGCCATGGTAAATATTTTCGATCATCAACAGAGACCCATCCAGTGTCGAGCTATTTTGGACAGCCAAAAAATTGAAACTGCCACGAGAATCACTCAGTATGACCGTGGAGGGGCTTAATAACTCTCAAACTGCAGCTAATGACTTGGTGAACATGACTATCCAATCGCGAATCAACGGGTTCAATCGATCACTCAGTTTTCTCACTGTCAAACAAATCGGTGGACTTTATCCTATGGAACCGGTCGACAGGAGTGTTCTACAGCTGCCTAAAAATATACAATTGTCTGATCCATTATTTGATCGGCCAGCGCCAGTGGATATTTTGATTAGTGTGGGCACGAGTTTATTCATGTTCTGCCAAGGCCAAATCCGATTGAATGGGCCCAGTGATCCAGATTTAATTCTCCAGCAAACCCAATTGGGATGGATCCTTGGTGGGAGCGCTCTGCCTAAAACACGCTCTGCCGTAAATCAACCTCCAGTGCAATGCAATTTGGCCACTGAATCAGAAATGATCAATTCTGGATTTGATATGTGGAAATTCTGAGAATGAGAAGAAGTGCCTACACTCTCTCATAAATATTCTCAAGAATAAGAACTCTGCGCAACTCATTTCATGGAAAACGTTACAAGAGATGAAAGTGGACGCTACATCGTTTCATTGCCTTTTAATGATAAAAAATCGGCTCTCTGTAACACAAAGGAAATACCAGAAGTAAGATTGAGAGCATTGCGACGAAAATTTCTACGCAAACCAGAGCTGGAAAAGCCCTATAGGACAGTGTTACAGGAGTACTTTGATCTGGGCCACATGACGGAGGTCCCCAACACTGACCCACCGGACGGGGGTTTCTACCTGCCACATAACGCGGTCATCAAGACTACGAGTCTCACTACGAAGGTTCGTGTGGTTTTTAATGCATCCGCAAAAACCAGTGCGACTGTAATTTCGTTAAATGATGCACTGATGACTGGTCCTATGATTCAGGATGATATTTTTTCATTACTGCTTCGTTTTCGATCTCATCAGTACGTGTTAACTGCGGACGTTGAAAAAATGTACCCACAGTTTTTAGATCGCGATGAAGATAGAAAATTCCAAAGAATCATGTGGATGGATGCTAAGGGGCAAACCAAGACCTACGAATTAAACACTGTTACTTTCGGCGTTGCTTCCGCAGATAATAAAAGTGAGAACTTTCCTGAAGCCGCCCTCCGCATCAAAAGGGATATATATGTCGATGATTTACTCACGGGGACTGACTCATTTGAAACTGCCATGAGTCTCCATAATGAGATCGACGTTCTATTGGAACGAGGTGAATTGAATTTGAGGCAATGGGCCTCCAATGGTCCACGTTTATTGGAGAATCTACCTGAAGGCAGCTTTAACCTACAACTGAAGACCGACAAGGAGGCCACTATCAAGACCCTTGGCGTGCACTGGAACTCACAGCGGGACGCCATTGTCTATACAGTGAAGCCGATGCCTACTGCTTCAAAGGTCACTAAACGTTCTATTTTGTCGAAGATGGCCAAGATATTTGATCCTCTCGGTCTACTTGGCCCAGTTATTCTTCAAGGCAAAATTATCATGCAAAAACTGGAAGGAACAATTGCGGTGGGACGATCTTGTACCATTGAGTGTTAATACTGAATGGAACTCCTACAAAAAACAATTATCTCTGATGAATAATGAATCATTCATCAGAAAAATCATCATCAGTGACGCAAAGGAAATCCAATTACACGGATTTTGCGATGCAAATGAAGCAGCTTATGGCGCTTGCATTTACCTGAAAACTATTGACTCCAATTGTAGCTCAGAGACACAATTATTATGTGCCAAGTCACGAGTTGCTCCCATCAAAACGATAACTCTTGCAAGGCTTGAATTATGTTCTGCTCTGCTACTGGCTGATTTGTATCAAATGGTGAAAAATTCCTTGTCTCATCAGATTCATCGAGCAATTTTTTGGTCTGATTCCATGGTGGCTTTACGCTGGATCAACACACCACCACACAAACTCCTTGTATTCGTCGTAAATCGAGTCTCTGGAATTCAAGAGAAAACCAATGGAGGTGAATGGCGTCATGTACGAACTCATGACAATCCTGTTGATCCCGTGTCTCGTGCATTAAACCCTGCAGAATTCATCGAAAATTCCCAGTGGAAAAATGGACCACCTTGGTTGAATGAAGATGAATCAAGTTGGCCAACTACTGAATTGCTGATTCCTGCGGAAATTCCAGAACTGAGGAAAGTTTAGTGTCTTTTAACGTCTCCAAAGAATGATCCTCTCAAACTTTACTCGTCAATCGGTCATCTCAGAAGAATCGTCGCCTTATGTTTGAGGTTCAAGAACAAAAGGCGCGGATTAATCACTGCAAAAGAGCTATAGCTGGCAAACGAGAGAATCATCAAGTTGGTTCAAGCAGAAACTTTCTCGAATGAAATAAAGGAGCTCGAGAAAGGGCAACTCCTCTCGCCTAAGCACAGACTGAAGTCACTCCACCCTTTTGTGGATAAAAATGAATTGATAAGAGTGGGTGGTCGATTGAGCAATGCTACAATTCCTTATGCCCAGCAACACCCTCTGCTGCTTCCAAAAGGACACACCATCTCCAAGTTACTCATTCGCAACGAGCATCTCACCAATTTTCACTCCGGAGTCCAGACAATACTTTATTCTCTGCGTACTAAGTATTGGTTACTCGATGCCCGAGATCAAGTGCCAAAAATCATTGGAGAATGTACCAGATGTGATCGTACAAGTCCACCAAACAATGACTATGTCATGGCCAACTTACCCAAAGTTCATGTCACGCAGGCCAAGCTCTTTGTCAATGTCGGTGTAGACTATCGCGGTCCCTGTTTTTTGAAGGAGAAGAAACATCGAAACAGAGGCCGGGTCAAAGTTTGGGTTGCTGTGTTTGTGTGTATGACAGTGAAGGCTGTGTACCTCGAGGTGGTCAGTGACCTAACGACCGAGGGTTTTATGGCAGCTCTCAAGCGGTTCATCGCCCGGAGAGGTAAGCCCTTACACCTGTACTCTGACAATGGGTCAAACTTCATTGGGGCACACAATGAAATTCAGAAGCTGTATGCTTTGCTCCAATCTGAAACCAACAATGAAATGGTCCAGAAGAAGTTGAGTGAACAAGGAATCACATAGCACTTCACTCCTCCCCTCTCTCCACACTTCGGGGGTCTATGGGAAGCAGGAGTTCAATCTTTCAAGCATCATTTGAAGAGGATCACTGACACTTTGGTGACTTACGAAGAATTCAACACTCTCGTGATTGAAATTGAAGCAATCCTGAATTCTCGTCCTCTCACGCCCATCTCCACTGATCCCAATGATCTCCTCGTGCTCACTCCCGGCCATTTTCTAACTGGTGATGCCTTGACCAGTTTGCCAGAACCCGATTGGGAATCCAGTCCGAACAACAGACTTTCATCTTGGGAACTTATCCAGAAGAAACAATAGGAGTTCTGGAAACGCTGGTACAAGCAGTACCTCAACGAACAGATCGCCAGGACCAAGTGGACTACTGGAGAACATCAAATCAAGGAGGGCACTATTGTCATTATTCGAGAGGACAATCTGCCTCCTCGTCATTGGGTTCTTGGGAGAGTCATTCGAGTTTATCCTGGTGATGACTGAAAAAATCCGTTCAGTGAGATTAAAAACAGCCGAGGGTGAGTTCGATCGGAATGTTCGAAAATTGGCTCCATTGCTCGTTGATCAAAAAAGTGAATGAAAATGCAAAGACTCAAATGTAAAAGACTCTAAGTGAATAGTTGAGAATGCCAAGTAATGATGTCATTCACTGTTAAAGTAAGATCAAGTTCAATTTATTCTAATGATTTTTGAAGTCGCTAAATTTGATATTCCAATAATGTAAGATACTCACAATTAGTTGATCATCTTAGACTCTCAACCCCCCCAGTGTGTTCGGTGACAAGACCGATATTTCATCATTTTAATGGGGGAAAAATTCTTCTTCCCACATATATGGAGACCATTCATTCCACTTCCTATTTGTCAGGCCATTTTTTTTTGTTTCTCACAGGAAAATATCCTTTCGAGAAGAGAATTTTGAGAAAATTACTTTTATTACGGTTGAGTGATAAATTCTAAGATTAAGAGAAAGTCGGAAGGCTGCAAACTCTCTTTTCCCACGGTGTGCAGACCAAATGTCCAGTACAAAGACACGTTTTTCCTCAAGTAGCAAAAAAAGGGTATCCCGGAATTTTGGAAATACCCAAGCCTCCCGCTCAGCGGTCATTCTTGTCAACGCCTTCCCATTTTCTTCCAACCAATAATCTTAAAGCTAGCGAAAATAAGTTAGCCAATAAGAATTATTCATCCCTTCAAATTTCAAGAAGAGGACTCAGAATTTTCCAAAAACTTCTAAAAGTTACCTCCGAGACAACGGCCAGTGAAGACTTCACTCTCACTGAGTTTCTCTTTTATATCCAAGCAATCTTTTTATCCAAGTCAAATCGTTTATTCAGTAAAGTGCAATATTATCGCGTAATTATTAAGTGAATTATTGTGTTTTAAATCGATAGACAATTTAGACTTTTTAGTTAATTTATCTCCTGCAATTTTAGACCTTATCATATATCTCAGAACAATTATTTTTTGTGTTATTAAAATTAAGGTGTTTGTGAAATAGTGTGTTTCATTTCTAGAACGGTTTACGTTCCCGTATCAGTCGTTGAAGAATCATTGGCGAGCTGCAACATCGGCATACCTGGGATTTACAACCCCAAGTGAAGGGGCCTTCTACAATTTTCCGGGCTACCGCTTTAATGATATCCAATAGTAACTACGGATGAAGTTGTCCGCACAACTGGAGAACATTTTTTTTTTTAATCCAAATGATACTCTTTGAAAGGCTTCTCAAACCTTGAAAGTCTCAAAAACTTCACTTCACCGCATCTTGAAAGAGATTTTGAACTTCCATCCCTACAAAATTTCTCTGCACCAATTTTTAAGTGAGGAGGCGATGGCTCACCGTATGCAATTTTGCCAAGAACTTGACAATTTTTTTGAATCCAAGGAAATGAAGGCACAGAATATCATTTTCTCGGACGAAGCACATTTCTACTTATGTGGCTTAGCATGTAATGATTTTTCCGTAGTCTCAACAAATACTCAATAAACCCTAACCCAAAATTCTCGATTATCTTAACACGGCTAAATCATTACCTTCGGTCTCGTAATCCGACAAGTCTGAAACGCCAAAAACCATAACGCTAAAACTGGACTCCGGGAACAATCAGCAGCTCATCCAATCCTTACTTCGTGTATTTAGGGCGCCAGCCGATTTTTAGCAATGCGGAATCGACAAACCGCAAACGGAACCGTATTTTCTTAAAACTAAATACCGATTGGCCCCAAAAATCCAATAACGACAAGAAACATGTCACAAACCATACGCAGAAATGTGGATTACGAGGGTACGGGATTTATTCGGCTGCTCAGTGTGCGGGTAGTGGAGAGAGGGGTGGATTCGTGGACGAGAACCTCAATTAACAAAGCCAATCATCGATCGAGAAACCAATAAGCCAATGTCTTAGATTCTAAACGGGATAGGTAAGGTCGATATTGAATAATAAACATAATCGTACTGACGTGTTTCGCTATTGCCGAGATTAATACAAAATCGTAAATTCGTAAATTCGTACAAATACAAAATTACATGGATGTGACTCGAAGTAATCCCAATTATTCTAAAAAGGTCAATTAAAATCTAGAAGACTCGAAAATATACGAATAATAATTTTAAGTATGAAAGAGAAAGCGATCCCAATCCAAAGTTGATAGAGAGAAGCAAAGTATTTTCCACGAGGGGAAAACGAATCCGAGAGAGAGAGACTATAGGAAGGTAGCGTACGTGCGAGAAAGAACAGATGAGGTAGCTACGCGAAATAAAGAGAGAACTCACGAGAATCTACTAACTTTTCTTATTTTCGACGGTAATTAATCGAATTTCAAATTCTGGAGCCTCTTTGTAATGGCTTTCTTAATTCTTACGCCATTTGTAACGCATTAAAACTTGGGGATCTCATCCACCGAAAAGGTAGCAAAATGAGCTAGGGAGCTTGAATCAGCCACGTGGCTGATTTACCGGAAGGGAGCATTTCTAACCCGGAAATGGAGGTTTTCTCCATGAAAATAGGTAGCTTACGGTCTCAAATGATTTCTAAGATAATAAGTAGCTTATTCATTAACGCAAGAGAGTTTGGATAATTTTATTGTTCTGGAAGATAACTAAAAAGATAGCGTCCCCATGCCCAAGCGGAATCCAAAACTCAACGAACGCTAGAGAGCATTAAAACGCGTAAAAGGTAGCTTAAGAGCAATTCAGGTAGCCTAATTTTTCTCCCAAAACTCGTGTGAATTTGAGAAATATGAAGAAATAGGTAGCGTAGAATAATTACGTAAAGAGAGCGAGATAAGGCAGCAAGCAAAAAGGTAGCAATGAAGCAGGTAGCGAGTTGCATCAATCGCCGTAGCGAGACGCATAGAGCATGAATTTTAGCCTAAAAGTTACGGTAGGTAGCATTATTACTATTTGGATTTATTCAGGTAGCGTAATTATCATTTAGATAATTTCAGGTAGCTTCCAGGGAGCATTTGGATTCGTTTGAAGGGTTTTCTACCCAGCAAACCATGAGTTTCGGTGTTGGCGTCATTCCGAGAGGTAGCGCCAACCTGCGTGGTCCAATCGCTTTTCCGAAAAACTGCACTAATTCACTTTTAATCACCTCTAAATAAGTACACGGGTGCTTACTATAGTCTGGAGCGTTGAATTTGACGGAATTTTGGTCACGGGGCCTCGATAATTGCCTCGAAAGTAACTCGTTCAGGGAGCTAGATCGATTCGCACCTCACTCTTGGTCGTCCGGGTGGATACTGTAATCGCGTGTGTGAGCTCGGGCCTGTTGCGTAGTGGTGGGGAGTCTAGGAGAGACCAGCCCCGTACGGTACTGACTCGAGTGTTGGAGATGCGAACTATCGATTCCCGGGGTAATTGTGCGCGAAATATTTAAAGATTTAAATTTGAAATTTCCTATAATTGATTCTAATTATTTTAACTGAACAAAACTGTAATTACTTGAACTTAACGTGAAACTGAGATGACTGAGCGGATCTTCACTCCATCTACGACCGGAATAAGGTAGCTTATCTCCCGAGGGTACTCTCCGGAGTGTAATTAGAACTTTACGAACACTTGACCAAACTCAAAACAAAACGGCAATTCGCATTGGCAACTGGGTTCTTACCCCTACGACCTTCCACCTGCAAAGCCCTAATACTCCCACGACTAAGGGAGCGCGGATACTTCGATCCGACCTATGTACTCACTCGATCAATAAACCAGAAAGGTTACAAAAAATCACTGGGTAGCACATTATCTTCGCCAAGTTATCCACGGTGATATTTTGGCCCTAAACCGAATTTACATAAATTATCTCCCACTACCAAAATCTAACTCAGTAAAACTGACTGGACAAAAATATCTGCAAAATATCTGGTTTATTTTATGAAGTTATTTAATGAATATTTTTCTAAAATTTTTGGGAATCGATTCACGCGATAGGTAGCCAGTTTAAGTAATTTTTTCGGAATTAAGGTAGCTTTGAAGTAGAGTTAAGGTGGCAGGTAGCTCAGGTTTCTGATATCGGATTTTATTCTAAAGCGTGTGTACCGGTCTTACCGAATCCGAGTTCCTCTGTCTCTCTCGTTTAATTTATAAACACCCTGTAGTGATACAGGTGACGAAATGGCCTGGAATTTCGTCCCAAGCAAATAAACAAAATTTTTGCTTTTGGGGGACTGAGTCGCCTTTCGTTATTGAAACCAAGTCCTCACACCCGAAAAAAGTCACTGCATGAGCGGCAATTACAATAAACGGTATTTTCCTTGAATTCATTCAGAGTCCGACAATCAGTGCTGATATTTACTGTAAGTTCTTGAAGAAGAACTTCTTTCCTTGGGTACGAAAAAATCATTTAGCCAAGAATTTCCACTTCATGCAAGATGGTGCCGCCCCACACAGGATTGCTGGAGTATTTGAAATACTTTTTTCTGTTTACGGCATTCGTGTGTTAGGCTTAGGTTACCCTAAGAATGCCCATGGGGGCATGGAATGGCCG